TTCCCTGGCTCAATGCCCTCACTTTCTGGAAGCCTCATTTCCATCTCATTACCAGATGAACGGAGTCAATTAAAGGTGGTCAGGCAGCCTTGGCCACTCAGGAGAGAGGGCACATGGTGAGGGGGCTCCCAGCTTCCTTCCCACCCTGACGGCCCAGCCTGGAGGCTGTGGCCTCCCTGGCCCCTGTGGCCCCAGTCGGCCGGGATGAGGCCCTGTGAGAGGCCTGTATCCTGCTAGGCCTTCCTGCTTCCTGGGCAGAGCTCTCCCCAGCCCAGCAGGTGGAGCAGCAGAGGCAATGGGTCAGCCCGTCCATTCCTGCCCTGCTCTCGACTACCAGGCTGGTTCCCCAGGCATCCAGGGCGTGGTCCAGAGCCTCTGAAGTTAGGGCCTGTCCTGGGGCAAGGGGACTCCTCCTCAGCCCCCTGCATGGATGTGCATATGAGGACCACAGGGGACAGGATCTCTCTTTGAATTCCCCCACACAGTCCCCAGTTCCCCCCATGGGTCCTGACTTGGCCCATCTCGCCAGAAGCAGCAAAATACAAAGAGGCTATCAGGAGAGGGAGCAGAACGTGGAGCTGACGGGCCGGCGAAGCAGGAGGGCTGCTGCAGAGGTGCCGTCAGGAGGGGACGGAGGTGGAGGAGAGGGGACAGCTGCTCTGGCCCAAGAAACACTTGCCAGCAAGATGCGTGATGTGGCCATGTGGCATTGGGACAGACCGGGCAGGGCTGAAAACGGCCCAAGTGTTGGCCTGGGCCTCCTGCTGACTCCCACCTGGGCTGCAGATGGAGGGACACATGTGACCCACCCTCCCCTAACCAGTGTGAGGGGTGAAGCTCCCTGGCACACGCTCAGCCAGCAAGATCTTGGGCCAGGCACCAGCCTGGCTCAGCTGTGTGTATTCTGAATGACTGCTGGACCTCTCTGGTCTGCAGCCACCCTACCCTGACATACATGCATACACATATATACACCCTCCTAGCAGAGTGCTGTGCAGGAGACATCCCAGGCAGAACCCACCAGGTAACAAGAGCTGGCTCTGCCCTGTCTCCCCCTTAGAAGCTGTGTAACTCTGGATGCTGCCTTAACCTCTCTGTGCCTCATTCAACTACATAAGTATTCATCCAGGGCCTCCTATGTGCCAGGTTTCATCAGCCAGCAGGGCAAACTCCTCTGCCTTGTTGGGGGCTACATCGTGGCAGGACAGAGAATAAGGGCACAGGAATTACCCGGTGTTCACAGGTGACGCCATGTGGGAAGTGAAAAAATAGGGTGTGGAGAGAGGCGGCTGGGGCTGCTGCCACTTGAAGCAGCACGGTCAGGGAGTCAAGATGGCCAGGGCAGGAACAAGCTGAGGGAGGGAGCCCTGTGGGCGTGTGGGGAAGTGTGTTCCAGCCCAGGGAACAGCCTGTGCAAAGGCCCTGCACAGGTGGCTGCCTCGCTGAGGACCCATCCCCGAGCTGCTGGGAGGAGTAAACTGGTTGACAGGCGGTGCTTCCTGCACAAAGGAGACACTCAGACGCAGCTGCTGTCACCACCACCAAGATGATGTTTACTCCCAAGGTCTCAGAGCATCAAGGCCTTCAGGGTCCCAGGCACCCGAATGGGGGTCTGAGCTGCCCCTGGGACTGGGTGACCGTGTCCTGTCCTGCAGCCGAGCTCCCCGCTTTACATCGTGGCAGCCCCAGCCCTCAGGACCTGCCAGCCGTCTTCCCCCAAGGCCCCCAGCCCTGCCACACAGCCTCGACACGCGCTTTGTCACAACTGCTGAAATTGGCCCACATACGCACTCACACACGGTGGATGCGAGCACCTCCCACGCTCGCTCACATGCACAGAAGAACGCAATGCACACACGTACATACTGATGTGCTGGAAGGGGGCAGGCGAGACCATGTGCACACACGTGCCCCATGCACTGCACACATGCACACACACCCTTTGTGCACACAACACCCTGCGGGAAGGAGGGGAGCTCCCCCAGCCAAGGGGACAGTGACCTCCGCCTTGCCCAGCCCAAAGATCTGCCCTCCAGGCCTCCCACCCCAGCGCTGGGGCCCTGATACACGGATACAAGACCGGGATTTTCTGATGTTTCCTGGATGCCACACCTGCACCCTCGTCCCGGGGCTCTGGCCACCTCTTCGCTCCTCTCCTGTAACTCGCTGCCTCAACACGCATCTAACCTAGGGTCCTCGGCCTGGGGGCCACGAATAGAAACAGGTCCAGGATAACCAGCTTCCTTTGCAACCCCACGTAGCTTATTCTGTGCCTCTACAGATGCTATTCTGTGGGATCCATCAGTGCCACTGGCTCGGGAGAGGCCAAGCACCCTGGACCATGTCACCTGGCCCCGTGATGACCTGCTGGCATGAATGCTCAGCCCACACTGGCCCCTGCTGCCCTCCCTGCCCTGGCTAAGTTCCAACCCTCCCTCAACATCCTGGGCTTCCTGCAAAAGGGGGATCCCCTCCAAGTGTCTGCAGGGCTCCCAACCTGCCCTGCTGCCATGGAGGCGTGCCCGGGGTCCTGCACAGGTACTCCTCTCACCAAGGAAAGCAAACTGCTAAGAAGGTGGACTGTGCCCCAGTCGCTCCTTGCTGGGACCTCCCCAGCACACTCATACAGCTGCATTTCCCTATGATGGTCACAAGGCTTGCCTGTACCTCTTCCAGAATCTTAACCACAGCCCCATGACAAGGCACCCCTGACTCCAGATTGCATGCAGTCCCAACACCAGGGACCCCCTGACCCGGCACCTGACACCCGCTTCTTGTGTTTAGGTGTTAATGCCTCCTCCCTCCCCCAACCTAGAAGTCAGCTGCAGGACACAAAAGAATTTCCTTGTGCCTCTTCAATGTTCCTCGTCCCTCAAGCAGAACACCTACTGGGAGCTGGGGAACTAGCTGCAGGGTAAGGATTTGGGCGACCACAACACATACAACCCCCAAACTGCATCTCCTGAACACACTATCCGACAGCCCACTCTCCTCATTTCGTCCCTATGACAAAGGAGGCCCCCGTAGACACTGCCACAGGCAACAACAGTGTGCTGGCCCATCAGAATAGTCCTACCTGCAAAAGAGGAGGGACCTTTCCGTAGCAAGGAATGAAAAACTCCCTCATCCAGGGAGAAACCAGGCCCATCCTTCCCTCAACGGTCAGAAAGCACCTCCCAGTGTGCTGCACAACGCCCGGCCCTGGGGGCCACAGGCAAGCACCCCAGGTCCCTAATATCACAGTACAACGGGCTTCCCCGAGGGAGCCC